ATCTGGCTACCAGAGAAGGACTCGTGCCTCCTCTCTTTCAGTCCTCTCCTAAGCAACACAGAGAATTGCTGCCACCAAGTAGTGGGCCATTTCGCAAAGTTCTTGTCTTCTGATCCATCTTGAAAATGGCTGGAGTTGGTTTCTTGAAGTTGCTCCCGTTGAAGTTGAGCTTTCAAATTATATAAACGGTTGTGCTTATAGGCCAAGGATAGGCTCTGCTTCACCTTGCTCTTGTTTTCATGCGATCCATCAGGTGCCAGACCTACACTACATATAAAATGCAACAAAAATTACTCACACAAACAATTTCACAAACATCTAATATACACTTGTAGACATACTTGCATGCATCATGACACATTTGTAGGGTAATGAAAAAGTAAAACTAACATCTAATATACACTTCACACTAAAATCCTATATATAGCTAACATGGCACAATAATGAACTATAGCCAAAAAAATCACACAAAATTACAATATGGATGATAATTAATGCATTTTTCACGAATTTTGAATAGGAATAAATTCCCCAAGCATATCTGACAATGCTACAAACATTTCCAAGACAATTTTGCAGTTTCTAATCCCCAAACATATGAATAAATTGTCAGGTTCTAGTCTAGCGGAAAAAGTTATTGACTTGCAGAGCATATGCCTCAGGTTTGAACAGCCATAATATCTTGATTGTGTGTGTGCATGAAACCTCCATTCCTTTTAGTTTATACTATCACATGTACTATAAATAAAAATAAATAAAAAAAGTAAACTCTCAGTGGTCGGAAATTGGATTTCCTAAAAATTTATTCAAACCCATTTTGAGAGTTCAAACAGTAATTAACTATGGCCCAAAGTCAAGGAAGTCATTGAACAAAGAGATGGGCTTGCATAAATCTCAGGATTTTGACAGCTGAAATAAAAAATGAAGCTGCTGATTATTAAAAAAGAAACATACCATTGGCAAGGTCCAACAGAAAATCCGCAGGATTCATAGCTACCAATGGGACATAGCCAATGCCCGAAAAATAGTCCATGACCTCCGATACTTTTCCGAAATACAAACAATTCCCTTCCGATAACAACACCACCTTATGAAACATGTAGAAAATCCTACTTGAAGGTTGATGTATGGTCATCACAATTGTTCTTCCTCCACTTGCCAAATCCCACAATGCCGACACAATCTGCTGTGCCGTTGTCGAATCGAGTCCAGACGTGGGCTCATCCAAGAAGAGCAAGCTAGGGTTTACGAGTAATTCTTGGCCTATGCTAACCCTTCTTCTCTCCCCACCCGAAACACCCCTCAAGAACTCACCCCCAACAACGCTGTTCTTGCACTTGCTTAACTCCAGTTGCATAATCACGGCCTCAGCTTGCATAGCCTTCTTGGCTTTCGATAGCGTGTTGGGCAAGCGAATAAGGGCTGTGTAGAATAGGGTTTCGATGACCGTCAAGTGGGGGTAGAGAAAGTCGTCTTGGGTTACAAAGCCAGTGTTTCTTTTCATTGCGTTTGAGAATGGTTTGTTGTTGTAGGTTATGGCGCCACTAAGTCGACCGCCTAGCCGGCCTGCTAGTGCAGTTAGGAGAGTCGTTTTGCCACTTCCGGAGGGGCCAAGCATGGCGAGGATTTCCCCCGGTTGAACGAGGCCTGAGATACCGTTTAAGATCACTTTCTCTTCGTTCTTGGTACTATTATTCTGTTTGATCTTGTAAATCACATCTTCAAACTGCATAAATGTGATTTAGTATATATATATATATATATATAATTTTTTTTATTTTTTAAAAGGGAGATAAGACACCGTTTTTCTACATATATATACCTTCAATGTGACTGGTCGAATGGCTTCCTTGAAGATAGCTGGAGCTTCAGTAGCAGTTTGAATCTCTATATCCAACATTTCTTTCTCCATGCTTGCGTGATGCTGAGGTCCCTCTTTCC